GGATATTGCAACACTGAGCTCTTGTCCAAAATTGCCATAAGGATTCGAGATATTCCATCAAGAGCAGCTTTTTATGAAAAGAACTGGAAGGCGTTTAGCTCAACAAACGCAAAAAGAGGAATAAACTAACAAATGAACACACTACAAAGCTTGTTTCCATTTCACATAATCTCTTGCTTCTCGGTCAGTCACAAGCACAAGGAATCAAGGCCAAATATGAGAAGCTGCTTGTGCCCACCGACTCTCGTCCATCTTTTAGTAAAAACAGAATGTTCTGCTAGTTGTACTGAATCAGATTTTTCTCTGCTTGAGAGGAAACTGAAAAGCGAGGAACAGAATGGGTGACTAAAACTGAAAGTCCTACGGTTATACCTGAATGGAAAAAAGTTTACTATGGATGCAACTAATATTAGGTACAACTGTTTTTAGGTATTTGTCTTTAAAAATAGTGTTCTTTCAAGTGTAGCCACTTCTTGCTAAATATAAGGGAAATATATGCTATTCCCTTTAACATTATTACAAATTTAAATAAAATGATTTCATCATACAGCTTTGAATGTGTTTAAGCACAACATTTAAACTGAACATGCTAAATCAGGTAACATAATCTTTAGAATTTTATGAATTTTTTCCAGTTCTATTACTTTTTTTCCTGGAAAATCCCCATTACTGCACCTAACCCCCTAGGGAAAGAGTCTGAGTGTATTATATTTAAACAGGGGAAGAACGAAAAAGTCCATGAAGCTCTGTGTCAATATAAATGAAGAAAAATAGTTTAAAAAAAAAAAACACCAGAAAGGAAAGTTTTCAAATGGCTTCAAAGCCTGCTTTTTTGTGCACTGCTATTGTTGCAGCAGTTTTGAGAGATCTCTTTTCATCTCTTTCTGGTTGAGAATGGGTGGTTTCTCACAGAGTAATTCTCTTACAGGCTCCTCTTGCTCCACTCTTCCTTTATTATCTCACCATTTAGTATCAGAAGTCATAAGGTAAGGATAGATTTTGAAGCACAGGTGCGCGATATGAGTGCCATCCCACCCCCAAGATACTCCAAAACGTAAGGGAACTGCATAGTGCTCTCTCTCTCTCTCTCTCTCTCTCTCTCTCTGTGTTTGTGTGTCCATGTCTATACCCTGAAGAGCAGCAGTTCATAGTGTGACACCCAATTTATTAGAATAAGCTGATACTCAAGGCCAGGTATTGGGACAAACTACATGGTAACACTTAGCACCTAATTAAAAATGGCATTCTCTCCAGTGATGAAAGACTTCCATAACACGTGCTCTTCATCCTCACCTTTGTATCTTGCATTCCAATTTGCTTCGTTTTGTGATTAACTCTGAAAGTGGACACTGGGAGGTGGAAGCTTCTTTGGCAAGACTGATTGCTGAGGGACACATCCCTGGAGAAATGCCATTGGTGGAGGGAAAATGTTGCTAATCGTACGGAATACACATTTCCCTATACATCTAATTTGAATGTGAGAATGCATGATAATGGAGAACAGATGAATATCACAACATACGTATTCCTACCCAGCATATTACCAGAAATTCAAGAGTTTCTTTTTCCCAGCAACAGACAGAAACATTTTACCTCAGAATTAACAAAGCAGTTCCAGCATTTTTCATAGTCATCATACATACATAGGCATCCTTCAGTCTAGAGAGACTATGGTAACAAGCTCTGTATCGAGGAGGGTCCTCTCCAGAGCATGAAGCCTGGGTAAAGTAATATGGAGGATAGGCTGTTACCCAAGCAGCAGACCCCCCCCTCTCCACGTTGCTAAAATGGTCCAATGGAAAGGGAAGAGCCAATACAACTGGTTCCAGCGACGTCGCAGGAGTTGGCAGAACAACATCTGCTTTCTGGTAGAAGCTAACGAGTCCTATTCAAAATTAAGCCATCAAAATATTTTGCCTGATACAAGTAATACCTCAGATATACATACTTTTTTGACTTGCCCCTTGCCACACTGTGAGGGCTGTGGTTAAGCAGTGAAGCTAGGCTGGAAGTGGCAGATGCTGGCATCATCCCTGCTAGGAAAAACGTTGTGGTTCTTCCACCATGCAAGCCCCAACTCATTGGTAAACCCCATGGTTAGCACACAGAAGTGCCCAGATTCAGACCCCGGTTCTCCAATTAAAGGGATCAGGAACTCTGGAGAACTTTTGGCAAGATGGCCAAACAGTCTGACTTATGTATATTCCAATATCTGTTGTTTCCTAGAGATCAAGCCTGTTGCTGAAGACTCCAGAAAACAAGGACTTGTTTGATATGGGAAACCAATGAGTTCGTTCAAATCTAGTTCCTTAAATCTGTTCTTTAAGGAATGGAGTTTGTTTGTATGACACATTAAATGCCTTGTTGGCCATGCATTTAATGGCCATGCACCCTGTTGCTGAAGACTCCAGAAAACAAGGACTTGTTTGACATGGGAAACCAATGAGTTCGTTTGTATGACACATTAAATGCATTGTTGGTCATGCATTTAATGGCCATGCATACAAAACACACCTTACCATGCTTAGAACGTCCATCCTTCTAAGGCAAAATGTGATCACCACTGCTCATCTGAAGCCATTCATTATTCAAACATGTGCAAAGACTCCAGAAAACAAGGACTTGTTTGACATGGGAAACCAATGAGTTCGTTTGTATGACACATTAAATGCATTGTTGGTCATGCATTTAATGGCCATGCATACAAAACACACCTTACCATGCTTAGAACGTCCATCCTTCTAAGGCAAAATGTGATCACCACTGCTCATCTGAAGCCATTCATTATTCAAACATGTGCATGAAAACAGCTAAGTATGAGCTTTAAAAAAGAGTAAATTTTAAAAAAAACTTTGTTGGATGATGTAGAAATAGAAGCTATCCTCCTCAGTGTCTGAAACCTCAAAATGCACACCTTACCATGCTTAGAACGTCCATCCTTCTAAGGCAAAATGTGATCACCACTGCTCATCTGAAGCCATTCATTATTCAAACATGTGCATGAAAACAGCTAAGTATGAGCTTTAAAAAAGAGTAAATTTTAAAAAAAACTTTGTTGGATGATGTAGAAATAGAAGCTATCCTCCTCAGTGTCTGAAACCTCAAAATGAGAATAACAGTTTATCATGTCATTAGAAGCAGAGTTCCCTTAGGCAAAAGATTATGTTGCAATGAAAACAGATAAGTATGAGCTTTGAAAAAGAGTAAATTTTAAAAAAAACTTTGTTGGATGATGTAGAAATGGAAGCTATCCTCCTCAGTGTCTGAAACCTCAAAATGAGAATAACAGTTTATCATGTCATTAGAAGCAGAGTTCTCTTAGGCAAAAGGCAGCATTATGTTGCAAATTAGTTTGCATTGCTTTTTGAAATAGGCATTGGGAGGCAAACATATGCTTCCTTTGCAAGTCTGATTGCTCAGGCATTGGAGCACTGATAAAACTATGTGCCTGCAAGGTAAACAATGTAATAGTAGAAAATATACTTTCTCCCTGTCTGATATGTGATTTAATCCCTTTGCATCATCAGTGGCAGGAGGGACAGGGAGATGCATAAAGGCTTGGAAAAGGGGATGAGCACCACCCCCTAGAGTCGAACACGACTGGACAAAATTTGTCAAGGGGAACCTTTACCTTTACCTTAGAAGCAGAGTTCTCTTAGGCAAAAGGCAGCATTATGTTGCAAATTAGTTTGCATTGCTTTTTGGAATAGGCATCGGGAGGCAAACAGGCTCAGGCATTGGAGCACTGATAAAACTGTGTACCTGCAAGGTAAACAATGTAATAGCAGAAAATATACTTTCCTCCTGTCTGATATGTGATTTAATCCCTCTGCCTCATCACTGGCAGGAGGGACAGGGAGATGCATAAACTGGTCATCTTCAGATTACTGTTTTATGCTTCATTTCACCTACCTTCAGAACTTGGAGGAGTTTCATTTTTGGGGCTACAGCTCCCATAATTTGGCTTGTGGGATCTGGGGAGTATGATTTTTTTAAAAAGTTATCCATGCTTTGCCAGGGATTGAATCAGGATCTAGCACAGTGGCTTGGTAAAATTTACTCCTCAGTGGTCCTAATATGGATACCGCAAGAAAAATACATGCTTAGCATTTGATTTTTGATGTAACCCGACTACTGGCTTCGTTCCCTTCATATTTTGTTGATCAGTTGAAAACTTTCTGCTTCATTTGTGATGCTCTTAATGCCATCAACCATGAGCCATAATTATGCATTGGACAGAATGTCAGGTTAGGAACCAAAAGACCTAGTTTGAATCCCCACTGTGCCATGGAAGCTCACTGGGATGGGGACACTGGTAAAACCACCCCTAAATAACCCACATACCTTAAAAACCTTATTAGTGTTGTTAGTCAAATATTATTTGACAGCACATAACAAATTTTGCCCTACTCTTACCTCCTTGGCTTGTTTTGTTTTTTACTGGCTTTCTCAATTACTTTGCCTTCTAGTGCTATAAGTATCAACTGGAACTCAGATTTGGCCTTTGTTACCCAACCTCATTGAGCTTCTGTTATGGCCTGGATTTGGCATGAAATAATTGTCCTGATAAATACAATCATGCTTCTTCTTTTTTGACCCAGGGATCAAGGCCTGAGTGCCGATTGTAGCCATCATCATCATCATCAGTAATTGTCGAACATTATGCCTGGAGTGCCTCACAAGACATCTGGCCCTGAGCAGGTTCTGTCAAACAAGCCTGAAACACTTCTGAAGTACACATGTTCTCTGTTTTCCCTCCACTCCTGTCCCAAACATCCAGTCTTTTCTTTAAGCAAAGTAACAATGGGACCATAAGAAATAAGTTGATGACATTTGACCAGGGGTATCATACAAAATAATGCACTGGGAGGTTTCATTGGTTCAGCAACGTGAGCATTGCTCCATGTAAGTCATTAGTGCCCACCAGCTACTTTGGCTCTTGTGGTTCACCCATATATTTTGGTATATGTTTATCTGTGCGTACAGTGGAAGAGGTGGATTTAGGGCATAAATTCTTCCTTTATAGTCATTGGTGATGAGGAGACGAGGTTGGTGGTACTGCTGCAGATGCCTCCAATGGGGCCTGGGGTGCCAACTGCTGGTGGGGTAGGTGTGGTTGTACTGGCAGGCTGTGTTTGTTGCTGCATCTTCTTCTTGTTCACCTTCCTCTCTTTTGCCCTCCGGTTCTGGAACCAGATTTTCACCTGCAGAGACAAAAGACAAAAGCAGGAGAGACCAAGCCAGAGAAAAAGGCATGGGGGAGGGGGATAAAGAACAAGGGGACAAAAAAAAATTAGAGATGGATGTACAAGATGGGGATGTTAAAAAGAAAGTAAGAGAAAGACAGAGCAAGAAAGAAACATGTAGTGGCCAAAAAAGAAGAAGGAATTATGACAGATTTAGAATGTGAAAAGTTATTATTGGGGATAGGGAAAGAAGCTGGATATAACAACTGTTAAAATTCATGAAAATGCTCTTATTTAAACTGGCTTTTCATGAACAATGGTTTTCCTGCTCCCTCTCTCCCATGTGTGCTATTGCACACACAAATTCCTACAGTATCTTGTCTGTCTGTCTGTCTGTCTGTCTGTCTGTCTGATTGATTGATTGATTGATTGATTGATTGATTGATTGATACCCCACCCATCTCGACCAAAGTCTCCTCTGGGCAGCTAACAATAAAAAATGGAACAAAAACAATATAATAAAGTAAAAAACAACAATAGTAATGTGGCAGAAGATGGGGAAAAGAAAAAAATTCAAGTGATGACAGGAGGGAAATCCTGCCTAAAGAGCCAGGTCTTAAGTTTGCTCTTAAAAGAACCCAGTGAGGAAGCCAGACAGATCTCTGGGGGCAGACTGTTCCAAAGGCGAGGAGCCACTGCCAAGAAGGCCTGGTTTCTTTTTTTTTTCTCTCCAGGCCTCCTTTGGCATTAGGCCCCTCAGCTGCCCTTCCTGGCTTGAACAAGTGATTCGGGTAGATCTAGGTGGGAGGAGGCCTTCCACTAGATATCCTAAACTGCTTAGGGCTTTATATGTCATCGTTAACACTTTGAAATCAATGCGGAAACGAACAGGCAGCCCATGCAAGGCAGCCAAAGTGGGGAAAATATGCTGATATTTTCTCACCCCACTGAGAAGTCTGGCTGCCACATTCTGCACCATTTGAAGCTTCTGCACCAATCTCAAAGTGCAGAGTGTATTACAGTAGTCTAATCTCGTGCATGGACCAGGGTGGTGGGTGCCCCAACATCAAGATAGAGACGCAGCTGGGCAATCTGCCACAGACAGAAATAGGCAGAGCGGACCACTGATGGCACCTGGGTTTCCATGGTGAGCGCCGGATCCAGATGGACCCCCAAGCTGCAAACTTCACTCTTTGCAGTGAGAGTCACTCCCCCAAAAGAGAGGGAGTTTTGCAAACCACCAATGGAGGGGCCACCCACCCTCAGGACCTCCGTCTTGTCCAGGTTCAGCCTCAGTCCATTCAGCTGCATCCATTGCAGTACAGCCTCCAGGCAGTGCTAAAGGGATGGAATAGCATCCACTGTTGTTGGAGAAAAGGAGATGTAGAGCTGGGTGTCATCAGTGTACTGATGGCACAAAGCCCCACACCCCCTGATGACCCCACCCAGCAGCCTCATGTAGATATTAAACAGCATTGGGGAGATAATCAAGCCTTGTGGAACCCCATAATTGAGGCTCCACGGGGCCGAAACACTCTTCCCCAAGCTGTACTCTCTGAGGATGGTCCTCCAAGAAGGATTGGAGCCAGGCAAGTGCCAGGCCACCAATTCCCAGCTCAGAGAGCCTCCCCAGGAGAATACCGTGGTCGACGGTATCAAAGGCGGCTGAGATATCGAGGAGGACCAACAAAGACATTTTGCTCCTGTCAACCATCAGGTCATCAAACAGGGTGACCAATGCTGTTTCTATACCATGCTGCAGCCTGAAGCCAAACTGGAATGGATCCAGGGCATTGGTTTCATCCCAAAGAGTCTGGAGCTGGTCAGCCACCACCCTCTCTACCATCTGAGCTTTAAATTTTGCTGAAAATGAATAGATATGTGGCATAATGCTAAAAGGCACTCAGTCTCCTGCTCCTTTTTCCTCCTCTCTCTGTCCTCAGGACTTTTTGGTTAGTTAGATAATCCATCAGTACACGAAAGGGCAATCATGTCATTATTGATCCTGCTGTTTGTTATCTGCCAACAAAAAATAACCCTATTTGATACACCTCAACAGCTGGTGCTCTGCATGTATATTGTTTGCAGAAAACTAAGTTGCTACCTTGAGTCCTTTTGAAGAAAAAGGTGGGATAGGAATATTTTAAACAAAATAAATTAATAAATAAGTGCATCATGTTGAGTATGACTTATTTACAGGGAACTGTGTTTTATGATTACATGTTCTGTTCTTAGTGCTTGTCCTGGCACTGCTGCCTAAGTTGGCTAGGTAACGGTCATTTTAGGAATGCTTGGAAAAGTTATTTTTTTGCATGATGACTCCTCAAATTCCCAACCAGTGGCCATGCTGCCTTGGAAACCTGGAGAACTGACATTCAAAAGTGTTATTCTTCCAAGCACAGGTTCTAAGTTGGGTGATAGCTTGAAATCCTGTGTTTGTGAAAAATCCTGCAGCACACCAACCTGCCGCTCCGTAAGTCCTAGAGTTGCTGCCAGCTCTGCCTTCCGCCGGATGGTGATGTAGCGGCTGTAGTGGAACTCCTTCTCTAGTTCCAAACGCTGGTGATCTGTGTACACAACCCGGTACTTGTCTTTTGTTCTGGTCTTGCCTGATAAAGAGCAAAGAGTAACACACCGCATTACATATCTAGGTGTGAAATATCTGGAGCAGGCTGTCCAACAGATGGCCATAAGAACAGGGAAAAATGAAACATGAAGGAAATGAAATAGGAAAAAAAAAAGACAAAGTATTGGTAGCATTAGCTGTGGAGCTGTCGTTGCTTTCCCCTGGGCTAATATTAATGTATTATAATTTTTAAAACAAAATATGTTCAGATACTCATGCTGCTACACGTTAAGTACAGTACAGTACATTGTTACATATACAGTATATTACAGAAGTGAGTACACCCCCTCACATTTCAT